TAGAAAAAAGAAGTTCTTCAAGTAATATATTGTGATTTTTCTCCTTAAGTTAAAAAAATATACTGAAAAGAGGTATACACCTCATCAGAGGTATATGTTTTCTAATATCTTTATTAATATTAAGTTCTTAATTTTTTTATAATTTAAAAACATACATTATAAATGTATACTTTTATTATCATTCCTATAATTGTTGGAACTTACTTTGTAGTCAGAATAAAGACAACAAGTGAATAAATGTCTAATATGCCAAGTGGTAAGTGCTGTGAAAACAATTAAGAGGGCCAACGGGGTAGAGAATGAATGAGGGATCTAACTTATATAGAGTGGTCAGTGAAGACCATTTTGATAATTTAACAATATAATGATTTTAAATATGTATTCATCTTTTATAAATACTCTTAAGTTCTCATCAGATCTGGGTAAATTTTTCGCAAAAACAATTTTATATTGTTTGGCAAAAGTTGATGAGACAGACAAAAGAAAAAGCTTTATTTAAATAAATGCTGAATTTCATGCCAAGAAAAGAATTCATGCTTAAGCTTGCTACATATTTTTCTAAAGAAAGCATTTGGTCCAAGAAATCATTAAAGCTAGGAAATATTTCTGTAAACTGCTTTCTAACATGGGTGGTATAACAAGCTACTATATCAACAAAAAGTCACTCAACCACATTAGTGATCAGAAAAAATGTGAAGTAAAACCACATGAGATGCTACTGCATACCCATCAGCATGACTAAAATTAAAGACTGACAATACTAGTGTTGGCCGCATGTGGAGTAACTGTAATTCTCATATGCTGCTTGTAGAAGTGTAAATGAGTAACAACAAAGGCAAACATACATATACTTTATGATCTAGCAGTTTTGTTTCTGGATAAATATACACAACAGGAATGCATATAAATGTCTACATGTATACTCGATGACATATACTCTGCTCATAGCATTCTTTGCAAAAGTCTAAAACTAGAAACAGCTCAGATGTCTATCAGCAATAGGATGGATTTTGCTTGTCAGATATTTGTACAGTAGAACACTATATAACCATAAAAACCAATCATCAACTGCTGTATTCAACAGCATAGATTAATTTTAAAACAATGATGAAAACAGTACATTTATATAAAGTTCAAAGGCAGTTCAGCCATCTTTATGCTAAAGATGGTTGGCTATCTTTTGAGATGAGGCATGAGGAAGACCTCTTGAGTGCTTTTCGTAACCTGGGTGGTGTTCATAGTGTGATAATTCATTGAGCTCTCCACTTGTGATTTGTACACTTTTCTATTGTATGTCAAAGTTTAATTTTAAAATGCTTTTAAAGGTGCCAGCACTAGTTGCTCTCCATTTGGAAAATAGATTAGAAAAAAATATGCAAAACAAGACAGATAAAGAGTTAATATCTATAATATATAAAAAGCTGCTAGATAGTGATAAGGAAAAGACAAAGAGCCCAAGAGAAAAATACTCAAAGAGTATAATTAGGTAGCTCAGAAAACTAGAAGTTAAAATGGCCAGTAATCCTATGAAAATATGCTTAAGCCCAGAAGTCATCTGGAATTAAAAGAATTATAATACTCATTGTTGGCTCTTGGGCCTATTAAAATAGATTAGAAGGGTACACTCACTTTACTTTTGAAAATGTGAATTTTAGGAATATAAACCATGTATTTAAATGTAAAATACACATACCTTCAATCCAGCAATTCTATTCCTGGGAATAAATTCCACAGACATAAAAGCCTCATACGTATTTTAATTTTTATCTTAATAACATAAAACAAAAACCTGAACTCAACCCAAGTGCCCATTAGCAAGGAGATAGTTTAATAAATTGTATTTTACAATTATGAAATATTATGCAACTGTTAAAAAGATGATTATTAGTTCATGTATGTATGTATTTAATTGAGAAGAGCAAAATGCCAAAAAGATATATTCAATACGATCTCTCTTTAATAAAACAATAACAAAAACTCCTATACATGTGTATATAAGTTTGTATATGATTTTTATAAGTGTAGAGAAAGATGTGAAAGGTTGTACATCAGCCTGTCAATATTGATTACCAGGGAGAATGAGTGGAGCAGGATTGATAAAATAAAAGTCTCAATAAAAAAAAGCATGTGATACAAGTCCATGGATACAAAAGGTTTTAGGTTGTGGAGATATATGTGTGTGTGTGTGTATGTATGTATGTATTATGTATGTATGCATGTGTGTGTATGTAAGTGTATGTATATATACATGTACACACATATATATACACATATATACACATATATATAAATAAATAAATAACTAAACCCATGATCATGATAGCAGTGGTTAAATGCTGCTATTTTCCTTTGTCAACTTGTGATCCTGGTATCCCTTTAAAACCAGGAAGCCTATTTCAGGGGCTAATCTCTCACCTGCGTCTCTAGCCTAATCAGAACAGCTACTACATCAAGGAGGTCTATATTTAAATATATTAGTGGAAAGGATCTTTGGGCCCTCTTGGAAGTTGGGGCATGGTTTAATATTTTAACATCACATCTTTTCAAGTTTTTGGATTTCTTCTCTGTGCTATATTGAGAAAGTTCTGACATCTCAGTGGCCTTTAATGAAGTTCACTCTTGAGTTCAGGCCTCAATTAGTCAACCAAACAACAAAACAATTAAAATCACTTTTAGCTATTATAGCCAGCACATTGTAAGTAGAATCTCTGATAAATACTCTCTCGTTGATACATTGAATCCAATTTAAAATTATATTTATATAAAATTGTATTTATCAAAATATATTCTTCATAATGTTCATTTAATTATTCTTTTCTCAGAATTTAAGTTTAAGACCTCTTAAAAAAAGATTCGTTATTCATCTTTCTATCTCTGGTGGTACCTCTTAGGTATAAATGCTTGGTAGATACTTATGTGAACAATGGCAAGATCATTATCAACTACTGCAATAGCAATCCTTCATTGTGTGGGTCTGTATCATACATTGCATGATGTTTACCATCTCTGACCTCTGCCCACTGAATGCCTATAACACTCCTTGGTCATTCCAACAGCTAAAACTTCACCTAGTCCCCCAAACCTCCAGCACCGCTTTTGGGGTATGAGGGTGATGGTGTTGGTGCTATCTTTTTGAGAATCACAAGGCTAGAGTAATTGGAGAAGTCTTTCTGAGGGTGGTAGTGCCTGTGCTAAACCTTGAAGGATGAGTAGGATTTTAAAACTACAGAAATTGAGACACAAACAGCACATAAAAGAGGGAGCAACATAATATAGGCTCTGCCTTGACTGATGAAGTGGTATGTCTATGCTGGAAATAGAAATAAAGTTGGATGAGTAGAGTGGAGTTAGAAGGAGTCTGATAGAAGAAAGGGAAAAATGTCAATTCACTTTCTAATACATCTTGCATACTACTGTCAAATTAATTTTCTAAAACACTGCTTTGTTCAACAGTCCATTTCATATTGCCTACTAGTCTTTGCTTTGGGCTCAAGGCATTTTATCTCATTGTATGCATCCAACTTTATCTCTTACTACCTTAAAACTAATTGGGTATGTCTGTCTAGCTGATTAAAGTAATATTTTCCCCTTTCTTTGTCAATATTCTTACTTTATGCTTTTAAAGTACCTTTCTTCCTTTATAAAGTCTATCATCATTGTGCCTATGCAACTTCTTGCTATTCTTAGAAACCTTTTCTCTGATAAAACTGGCCCATACTATCTCACATTATCCTGACATCTCCTTTCTGTTTCCTATAGTATTTATGGTTTGTCCTATAGTACTTAGCACAAAATTGTATATGGCTTTTCACGCCTCTCATTCTTGGTCTTCTGAATAAATTTTATTCTCCTAAAGAGCTGTGTGAGGTTAAAATATATAGATATATGCCTCACAATGTATTTTAAACCACCAAAGCAGCTTTATTTTTCCTTCGTCAATTGGTAAAAGGCATTGCCTTTTGAGTGAAATATTTGATATAATATTAGATATTGAGCACCTTGAAAACGTTTTTTATATCAAATATTTTTGTTTCAGTAATGAGTTGTAATTATTATTATCTATTATTTATTTATTTACTTTAATGTCTGCATCACCTGGTCTTCCTAGGTGGTCTCCCATCCAAGTACTAAACAGTCCCGACCCTGCTTAGCTTCTGAGGTCAAATGAGATTGGGCACGTTATGGATGGCATGGCCATAGACAAGTTGTAATTATTTTTTGAGAGTAGGAACCAAGATGACTGTATCTGTGTCCCCAACAATGCCTACCAGTTTCTTGCTCACAATAACTACTCGATATTTTACAATTTGATTGTATTTCATTGATTTTTATTTGTTTTATCAGTTTGCCTTAACTGTAACCATGTTCTGACCATTGTTTTGTTTTGCTAACAACAGAGAGTACCATTAGGGTACCTGTACACCCAAGAAATAGTCCTATCCTGGTTTTTGGTACCTTTCTTGAGCCACACTTTTCTTTTTCTAAGTAGTGTCATAGAAATTTGGATATCATATTAAATTATAGCTGAATCCTAATTATAGAGCAGTATTGGCTTCATGTTATTTATTTGAAAATGTTTTTAAGTACTGCCATATTTTGATCCTTGGTAATTTTCAAACTTTTTCTTCTCCCTATTTTTCTTCTTACTCTTTGCTCAAAAGAAATCTTACTCAAGATCTTACTGTATTAATTAAATATACTTTTTTCCTGAAGGGAGAAGATAGAGGTGGAAAGCAACAAACTGGAGCCTCACCTTTTACTCCTCTCTCTTCATCCCCCATACAAAGAGCACAGCTTGAAAATCACTATAACTCATCTAATTAAAAAATGCTTTTAAAAAAACTTTTGTTTTGCGACATCTCATTTAGAACTTAGTATAAAAATAGAAACACTTCAGTTTTACGGTGATTTTTAAATACAAATGAAAATGCTCTGGAATAAATTTCTTGTTTCAGCAATAAAAGAGTTAATGTACCAAGCAGCAGAGACTGAGATACTGCAACGGGATGGTGCTTTCTGTCTCTTGTCATTTGTGGTTTAAGGAAAGGGGGTGGTGTTCTGCATTTGAAAGGACTTTAATGAATGCTGTCAGTGTTTGTGAGAGCTAATGGTCAGTATGGGAAAGGAGAGCAGGGAAAAGTGGTCTAGCTGCTTCAGGATAGGTGGATGAGAGTTTGCTCTGATTGAACGGAATGTTCCACCGTGTTTCATCTTTATTCATTATCCATTGTTCTTTATAATCTGATGCGTTGGTTTAAAAGTAAATGAAGATATATATGTGAATGTGATTTATTTTCCTTTCAATCTGTTTATTGTGTACAGCAGGGCATATACTTCTCTTGTCTTGGTCGGATGCACAAATCTGTGTGCAGTGCTTTTTGCCCGTTGCCTAGACGATCACTTGGTTTCTCTGAGGATGTCTGGTTCTCGTAAAGAGTTTGATGTGAAGCAGATTTTGAAAATCAGATGGAGGTGGTTTGGCCATCAAGCATCATCTCCTAATTCTACAATTGACAGCCAGCAGGGAGAATTTTGGAATCGAGGACAGACTGGAGCAAACGGTGGGAGAAAGTTTTTAGATCCATGTAGCCTACAATTGCCTTTGGCTTCAATTGGTTACCGAAGGTCCAGCCAACTGGATTTTCAGAGTTCACCTTCTTGGCCAATGGCATCCACCTCTGAAGTCCCTGCATATGAGTTTACAGCAGAAGATTGTGGCGGTGCACATTGGCTGGATAGACCAGAAGTGGAGGATGGCACTAGTGAAGAAGAAAATGAATCTGATTCCAGTTCATGCAGGTTGATTATTTTCTTAATGTTAGAAATGGGGCATGGGGGTGTATCATTTATATGTTTTGAAATAACTTAGTATTATTTTTTAAAATTATGAATACATATGTACCTCTGCATACATACATATGTATTATATCTTGGTATGCATATGTGATATTTTTGGTAGGATTTAAAAATATATTCAAATAATTTTAATTCTATAAAATTATAAAGATAAATAGCATTCATTTTGAAATCTCTTGTGTTCCCTGTATAGATCTGGCTCTGTCTTGAAAATAATATATAGTAACAGTTTTATGCATCATTGCCTTACAGTTTGCTTCATTCATTTGCCCTCCTTAATCATATCAGAACTATAGAAGACATTTCCTTAGTATAAAATTATTACATTTTAGCTTGTATTGTAGAGTCACTTAAATTTTAATGAAAATGAAAGGTTTTATAAGGAGATGCACTTGTCAACAATATTTTTCTTATGTATTTCTCTTTGTCCTGTGTTGCAGCTTTCCACACTAATAGAGAGAATACAGTAACGTCTTTTTCTAAGATGACAGCTACTAATTCCTGTTACCTTCTTCATGGAA